AAAGTATTTCCAGGCATAACCTCTTGAGAAGAGAAGGCTTAAAGTCCAAATGAATTTAATTATTATCTTATAACCACACAGTAAATGTATAGATGTTACATTGTCATTGGTTGTTTTTCATTGAAAAAATTGTAATGAGTGATTGACTAAAAAATTGTATATGGGTGACATGGTCAGTTATACATTCAATTATTATTTAAAGGTGTTATGTATATTTCCACTAAACTGGGGTCTTTTTGCTTTTTACTTGTTATAACTCTTACTTGCTGAAGTATTATGCCTTTTTAATATAATGTGTATTTAAAATATGTTTTGTCAAAAACTAAAAAAGAAACAGAGAAAGAAGACTAAAAGGAAGGAAGTTGGGAGGAAGAGAAGGATGAAGATAGGGAGAAGGGGGATATGACTACATTCTTAGACTTGTATATACAAATCATTTTGCATCTGTTAAAATTAATTAAAATTAAAATAAAAAATGAAAAATAGCCTTTTCTTGTCAACCAAATTTTGAATGCCTACTATATATAACCCCAAGGATTTCCCAAAAGTGTTGCCAACTTAACATGAAAGAAAAATGATTTTGAAACTGGAATTTTGGGACCGGTGCTGTGGTGTAGTGGGTAAAGCCACCACCTGCAGTGCCAGCATCCTGTATGGGTGCCAGTTTGTGTCCTGGCTGCTTCACTTCCAATCCAGCTCTCTGCTATGGCCTGGGAAAGCAGTGGAAGATGGCCATAGTGCTTGGACCCCTACACCTGTGTGGGAGACATGGAAGAGGCTCCTGGCTTCTGGCTTTGGATTGGCACAGCTCCAGCTGTTGTGGCTAATTGGGGAGTGAATCAAAGGATAGAAGACCTCTCTCTCTTCTCTGTCTCTCTGTCTCTCTCTCTTTCTCTCTGCCTATCCTTCTCTGTAACTCTGATTTCCAAATAAATAAATAAATCTTTAAAAAAAACTGGAATTTTATATCTAGCTCAAATGACATTTAAAATGTGATGTCTATTGATCATTCGCCGATACTGATTCACCAATTAAAATCAAGGTCAGTAACACTAAAACACCTACCAAAAACTATTTTGGAAAGAATATCCAACAAGGAAATAAATAAATTAAGTTAAAATTATATACTATAGCATTCCAGTAATATGGAAGAGAGAAAGATCCCATCCGCTAGTTAACTTCTCAAATTCCCACAATAACTTGGCAGCCAGGGCTGGGCAAAGGTCAAAACTAGAAGCTGGAAACTCCATGTGGGTGTGTCTTATTGGTGGAAGGGACCCAATGACTCAAGCCATGATCTGTTGCCTTCCAGAGTATGCATTAGCAAGAAACTAGAGTTAGGAGCAGAACTGAAACTGAAACCTAGGCAGTCTGATTTGGGATGTGAGTGTTCCAAGCAACAACATTTTTCTTTTCAAGATTTATTTCATTTACTTAAAGGGAGAGTTACAGAGAGAGGAAGAGATACACAAGGAGAGAACTTCATCTATTGCTTTACTCCCTAAATGGCCACAACAGCCTGTGCTGGGCCAGCCAGGCCAAAGCCAGGAGCCAGGAGTTTCTATAGAGTCCCCCATGTGGAAACAGGGGCCAAGGACTTGGGCCATTTTCTGCTGCTTTCCCAGTCAAGTCAGCAGGAAGAAGGATGGGAAGTGGAGCAGCAGGTACTAGAATCAGCACCAATATGGAATGTTGGTGTTGCAGGAGGCAACTTAACCATTGTGCCACAATGCAGACCCCTCAAACAACAACTTAACTGATAGGCCAAACACCTACTGCAATATGGTCTTTTTTTGTTGTTGTTAAAGATTTATTTATTTGAAAGACAGAGTTATAGAGAGGCAGAGGCAGAGAGAGAGAGAGAGTGAAAAAGAGAGAGAGAGTGTGTCTTCCATCTACTAGTTCACTTCTCAAATGGCCACAATGACCAGAGCTGCTCTGATCTGAAGCCTGGAGCCTGCAGCTTCTTCCTGGCCTTCCACATAGGTGCAGGGACCCAAGGACTTGGGCCATCTTCAACTGCTTTCCCTTGCCATGGCAGAGAGCTGGATCAAAAGTGAGCAGCTGGTACTCAAACCTGAGCCCCTATGGGATGCCAACACTGCAGGCAGCAATTTTACCCACTACACCATAGTGCTGGCCCAGTATGGTCTTTCAATGTGTAAAAAAACAAAGCCTCGAACAAGAAGAAACAAACCAGGAAGTAGATGAGGTGGGGTGAATGTAATGAGACAAGAAGATACTAGTTCTTAGAAGTTATGTGTTCTTGAGGGGAAGCTAGAGATAGACATTTTAAAAAGTACTGACTAAGGAGACATAGATGGAAGTACAGAATAAGTGTTACAATTTGAACAAAGGTGGTAGAATTAGTCAAATTATAACATTTAATGCGATCTACATTTTTTAATAAAATTATTTGTTATACAAGCTTCTTGTATTTCATATACACAGATTTATGAACAGTGATACTTCCCTCCCTCTCACCCATGCTCCAACCCCTCTTTCTCCCTCTCCCATTCCCACTCTTAAATTTTACAGAGATCTACTTCCAGTTTGCTTAGTGATTGTAAGGTTAACCCTACACTAAGTATAAGAGTTCAACAAATAGTATGAAAGAAGAAAAAACACTGTTTCTCAACAGAAGAGACAAGGGCTGTAAAGGTAAATCCATTAAGGAACAAGGTTTTTCAAACTATCATCAGAACAGTTTTATGATTTAATAATAAAATGTTTAAGTTCCAGAAAGATGCAACAGTTCTAATTATTTATTCATCTGATGGTAATATACATACATTTTTTATCATTTTATACAATTCTATCAAGTTAACATAAATAGTACTTAGAATTGAAAAAATAAGTTTATTTTAGAGTAAAAATTTTTGAGGTTAGCATAGTTTTCTGTAATGTACATTTTCCATAAACTTTTGAAGACTGCTGATACAATCAATTTCAATTTTTTGCACCAAAATAAGCTCTTTTTTAATTCCATTTTTCTATGAATATTTTGAAATACCATCATATATATGTAATATTAATATTAGAAATAGGGAAAGCTGTAAGAAAAAAATGGACAAAATCTTTATTATAGTTTGATATTTTAGCATTTGTTGTCATGTTTTATAAACCTGGGGCAATGCCATATAGTACAGTGAGATTGTTTTCTAGATAATGTTTTTTCATGATTTTTTTAAAATAAAAATGTATTAATATAAAAAGAACAGCTTTCAGGTATTACATAGGTACAATTTTAAGAAGATAACTATAGTTTTCTCCCACTCCTCCCGCAATCCCCCCTTCCTTTCTTTATTTTTCTTTTAATTTTTGCAATAACAAGATTTCAACCTACTTTATAATCACACATTTACCATACAAATATAGACAAAGGCTATAAACAGTAATCAAATCGTAAGATGTCAGTTTCATTTATACATTTTTGTATTCTACATTAACGACCACACATCAGGGTAAACTTATGATATTTTTCTTTTTGGGATTGGCTGTCTTTTGCAACAAAATGGATGCAACTGGAGACCATTATGCTTAGTGAAATAAGTCATGATACTTCTTAATGTCATTATCTGTCTTACTTAAGCCCGAAAAGTCTGAAATTTTAGCACACATCAATTATTAAAAATAAGTAAAAAGAATTAAAAATCAGGAAAAAGTTTAGAAAACATGACCTATACTGTTAACTAGTATAAAAAAGAAAGTTCATCTAGTGCTTAGGGAATTTTGAAATTAATATTTAAATCTTTAAATCTTTATGCCCTAGGCTTTATGGAAAGAATAAATCATTCTACAGTTTCCTATAAGTTCTCATCAACAAAATTTGGCTCTGACTTGAAGAAAGAAAGAGGAATTAAAAAATGGCTGTCTTTTACCCTGAGTACAAAATGGAACTGAAGTGAAAGTTAAATGCAAATACAAAAATATTAAGAAATCATTTATTTGGATAAATGTGTGAAACACAATTTCTATTATGTGTGTGTATGCCTTGTAAAATTGGCATAATATAATTTAATACAGTTTCAGGTACAAATTGCTTTATGCCTTATTTTTTTGTGATACTTTTTTCATGTCACTACATTGTCTTTTACCTAAGTTCACATGAGAGTCACCAAATTTTCTATACCCCTCCAGGCGTGAAAGCTAACATCTTCTGAATATCCACTTTTGTTAATACATACTTGGAAAATGTATTTTAAAATCTGAAATAGGCAAAATTCATTTTCTCTTGTTCAAGCCCTAGTTGTGGTGGAATGAAACATGTCTGTTATGTTCCTTAATAAGTGAAGGATTATAATTAAGCCTCTGCAGTTTTCAGTTTTCTGAACACAGAAATGCCTTCCTGCCCCCCTCACCACGCCGCTTGGAAAAATCAAAACTGATTTCCCTTTCTTATCTAAGTTTAAAAAAAAATCACTGGATATTCTGTACAGAAAAAGCTAAAGGGACTTACCTCACAGGAAATTTCTTCAACACTTGTCCAGATCTTCAGATCTTCAGAAATGCAGGAAACAAATGCTTATCTTGTTTGAATAGGAAGATAAATCAGTAAAGTAGAAACAGAAAGGCAGATATTATAACCTGAAAATGCAAACTTGATAATGAGAAACAGCACAGTTAGAGTCACTTACTAACTTCACTGGCATGAGGAATTGCCTATCCGGAAGAGGAGTTACGTAATTATGTTGAAACTCCTCCCATCAATGTTCTTTTGAATAAATCTTTTGGTTTTCTTAGCTGGAGAAACAGAACAGTTTTTTTTTTTCATAAACATCTTAGTGACATTGAAAAATTAAGCTACATTTCCCTAATTTTTACAAACGATACCCATATTTGAAAGAGTGCCAATTTAGAACTTTTTTTTATCTGCAGGCTGAGTTGTAAATCACAAACTTGATTAAATGAGGCTTCAAGAGTGGAAAGGAAATGAGTCACTCACCCACTTCTCCTCCTTCCCTTTTAGCTTTGCTATTTATATAGACTATTTACTTGGTTGCCTTGCACTCTAGTGTTATATGGTAGAAATGTATACTATTTGTTTTGCTGGTCTCTTCTTTTTATATTAAACACTTATTTTTCTTCCCCCTGAAAGCACCACTTCTTACCCTGTTCTCTAAGTTTTATTGGCTATGTTTCATTGTCTCTAATATTCATTAGCATACTGTCTTTAATTCATTGGCTTGCAGTGCTGGCATCCCATATCACTGAGGCAGATTGTATCCCAGCTGTTCTGCTTCTGATCCAGCTCCCTGCTAACATGCCTGGAAAAGCAGTAGAAAATGCCAAGTACATGGGCCTGTGTCACCCATGTAGAATACCTGGATTGATTTCCTGGCTCCTGCCTTCAAACTGGCTCAGACCTGAGCATTGCAAAAATTTGGTGAGTGAATCAGTAGATGGAAAGTCTCTCTGTCTATCAGGGTATTGAGCATTTTCTAAATACCTTATGTTTGAGCTCAGATTTAATGTTGTTGTCATAAAAACCACAGAATATACAGTAGGATTTCAAATGTGAATTTTACTGAAACTTACTGCAAGTCACTGCTTATTTCACTTTGGTGAACCTATATGTATTCTTGTTTGAAACGTGTGGTCTTGGTTGTTTTCACATGTTCTTTAAATGAAAATTGAGTCATACTGATTGAAGGTAGAATTGCAATTTTTCTTTTTCTTTTCTTTTTTTTATTCCAGAGTGTCTTGGCTTTCCATGCCTGAAATACTCTTACGGGCTTTTTAGCCAGATCCAAATGCCTTAAGGGCTGATTCTGAGGCCAGAGTGCTATTTAGGACATCAGCCATTTTATGAGTCTGCTGTGTATCCCGCTTCCCATGATGGATCGTTCTCTCCCTTTTTGATTCTATCAGTTAGTATTAGCAGACACTAGTCTTGTTTGTGTGATCCCTTTGACTCTTAGACCTATCAGTGTGATCAATTGTGAATTGAAATTGCTCATTTTGACTAGTGAGATGGCATTGGTACATGCCACCTTGATGGGATTGTATTGGAATCCCCTGGCACATTTCTAACTCCACCCTTTGGGGCAAGTCTGATTGAGCATGTCCCAAATTGTACATCTCCTCCCTCTCTTATTCCCACTCTTATATTTAACAGGGATCACTTTTCAGTTAAATTTAAATACCTAAGAATAATTTTTCAATTTTTTCCTTTGATTCTATCAATTACTGAAGCAAAGATTTAGTACATTTAACTATGATCATTGATTCGTATTTTTTCTTTTAATTCTATTAGAGTATGCTTTATAATTTAGTACAAGAAATCTTTTGATTTATGATCTATTTTTCATAGTGAAATTTTTATTTTCTCCATTTATAACCAAAGATCACTATCTGGCCTTATATGTTATTGACTATCCTCATTTCCCTGTGCCCATCCGTATCTAAAAATATTTTTTACATAGCTCATTTGTTCTTTTAGACTTTTGAATATTTATATGTGACATTTCTCTATTTTTATTCTTTAATAAGAATAACATCATCTATTGATTGATTTTTCCTAATGTTCCAGGTCTACAATTGAGTAATTTACAAACACTATTTCCATTTAACTTTCAAAATAATCTCTGTATGATAGACATTTATTTACCCTATCTTAGAAAGAACGATGTAAACTATTTCCTTAATATCATGCAACTAGTGAGCTGTAGCCAGGATGTGTATCAACTCTTCTTGACTCTACAGCGTTATAGGTGAGAATAAAGAAAACTAAAGCCCTAGAAAAAACAAGGAGACCTCTTGCCTAGGAAGAAATCCAAGGGAAGATTTCCCAAGAAAGAGGCATTAACAGCAGGACTCAGAAGATGGACAGGTTTGATCACATTGAGTTAGGGAGTCTCTAGGGAGAGCAAGCATGATAGAAGCATTGAACAAGAAGGGAAAATAATGTGTTGAAGCAATGTTACTATATTAGTGAGCAAGAGGAAAAGTATTAAAGAGATTTAACAGTGAATATGATGACTGCTTGTGATTATAAACACTACATTTCCTCTTCTTCCTCTAGAACAACACAAGACAGAAAACTAGTGGTTAGAGACAACGCACGGAAGATTAATGTTAGTGAGTCTCTATAAATTCATTTGAATTGGCATTTATTGGTGTCATTCTTAGGTAGATGAGAAGAAATGTTCCTTTGAAAGGTTTGAATCTTATATAATGTACTAAACAAAAATGGACAAAGAAGGAACAAGAAGAAAATATCTTAAGAGATAATTCCTCTGTGATCTTAAGAATACCAATGAAGGATTCAAGTTTTTTTTCTCTAAAGAAATCCCCACAGGTATCCCTTCACAGGAGACTTCTAGCAGTCTAGACTTTCAGACTGCTTTTCCAAGTCTAAGATTAGCCCTTTGCTTCATAGTGATGGAAAGACAAATCAGTAAAACTATCCAGAGACTGGACTTCAGAATGTAATGATTTTGTGGTGGGTGAAGCAAATGAAGTATTTTATAGACAATACAAAAAATGACATTGGTTTGGATCATTTAGAAACTTGACTAGTGTTAGCAGCCTCATATTGCATGCTCTCCTGGGGAGGCAGAAGTTTTAAAAGAATTCTATGACTTCTTCCATTTATATACTTAGATTTAGACACCTTTATCCAAAGAATCTGAGCTTCTGGCAAAAACAAAACAAAACAAAACAAAACAAAACAAAAAAACACCTAAATGAAAGATCTCCGCGAGTGAGATCCCAGTGGAAAGAACGTGTCATCAAAGAAGGAGGTACTTTTCTCTGAAGGGAGGAGAGAACTTCCACTTTAACTACGACCTTGTCTAAATAAGATCAGAGTTGGTGAACTCAAAAGGCTTCCATAGCCTTGGCAACTCATGACAAGAGCCTAGGGAGATTACTGATGCCATAAACAAGAGTGTCAATTTGTTAAGTCAACAACAGGAGTCACTGTGCACTTACTCCTCATGTAGGATCTCTGTCCTTAATGTGCTGTACATTGTGATTTAATGCTATAACGAATACTCAAACAGTATTTTTCACTTTATGTTTCTATGTGGGTGCAAACTGTTGAAATCTTTATTTAATATATACTAAACTGATCTTCTATATATAAAGAGAATTGAAAATGAATCTTGATGTGAATGGAAGCGGGGAGGGAGAGGGAAAGGGGAGGGTTGCAGGTGGGAGGGAAGTTATGGGGTGGGGGAAGCCATTGTAATCCATAAGCTGTACCTTGGAAATTTATATTCATTAAATAAAAGTTAAAAAAAAGAATCTGAGCTGCTGTATCCTGCAAATAACTTATCACAAGGAAAAAATTTATCAGAATTATTCTCTTTCAATTTGATAACATATCCACATGCAATCTAAATCCATGAAGCTAAGCTAACAAAGGGAAAAGATGAGTCACTCAGCTGCTTCTCCCTCTTTCTTGGTCAGGGAATGGCAGTGGCAACTTGAGACCCTGTTAGAGGTTTCCATTGCTATTGTACTTGACTGCATTTCCTGAGTAGTGGAGGGCTGCTACAAAGTCCTTTTTGGTTTAAATACTGCACAAATCATGAATCATTCAACCACAGTTGATGAGCTGGAAGGCATCACAAGTATTTGTATGTAGATCTTTTCTGCTTCCTTGACTGGGTAAGCTGCATTATCTGCATGGCTGAAGTCATAATTGCTTAAAAATTTTTGCACTGGTGATAGATTAAAAAAGAAAAGTTAGTTGTTGTCTCCTGCCAGGAGAGCATTGAATCTTTTCAAGTTCTGAAGGAGCACCAAACTTCTGGTAGGGTAGGGGCCTAATAAACCTTTTGTTTGATATAGGTGTTTGTGGTTCTCTTACAGGTTAGGTTGCTGCTGATGTTGACTTCCTGATCTGATCTTTAGGTAAAAGTTAGAAAGGTACACAAGGGAACTTCCTAGCAGGCCTCCATGAAGAGATGGGGTATACAGGATATACTAGCCAACTGAGCAACTGGTTTCTTTCTTTTTTTTTTTTTTGACAGGCAGAGTGGACAGTGAGAGAGAGACAGAGAGAAAGGTCTTCCTTTTGCCGTTGGTTCACCCTCCAGTGGCTGTCGTGGCTGGCGCATTGCGCTGATCCAAAGGCAGGAGCCAGGTGCTTATCCTGGTCTCCCATGGGGTGCAGGGCCCAAGCACTTGGGCCATCCTCCACTGCACTCCCTGGCCACAGCAGAGAGCTGGCCTGGAAGAGGGGCAACCGGGACAGAATCCAGTGCCCCGACCGGGACTAGAACCCAGTGTGCCGGCACCGCAAAGCGGAGGATTAGCCTATTGAGCCACGGCGCTGGCGCAACTTGTTTCTTTAATTTGCTCTCCTGGGATCATTACATAATAGTGTTGCCATAAAGTCACTTTTAAGGAAAGATTAGAATACAGCAAATTTTGTAGATGTCCTTTACTGACGTCAATGACCAAGAAAAACAAAAGCAACTGCTAAATAGTCCTGCATTTTCGACTTGGCGTGTTTAAGCAAGTTGGACTGCACAAAGTGACGCATAGTTCCTTGAAAGCTTATGTTTACCTTGGGGAAATATATAACTAATCAAAGCATTGCTCATAATTATGAAACCCCAAGGCTGTAAAAAATTAGTATTCAAAAAAATTGAATCAAAGCCTACTTGGCTGCCAAGCTTGACTAATCTGAAGTCAGGCTTTTCTAGTCACTATTTACCCCTCTTTGTATGAAACTACTTTTTTAAAAGATTTATTTATTTATTTGAAAGTTAGAGTTACACAGAGAAAGAAGGAGAGGCGGGGGGGGGGGGGAGGTCTTCCATCCACTGGTTCACTCTCCAATTAGCTGCAACGGCCGGAGCTGGGCTGATCCAAAGCCAGGAGACAGGAGCTTCTTCCAGGTCTCCCATGTGGGTGCAGGGGCCCAAGGACTTGGGCCATCTTCTACTGCCTTCCCAGGCCACAGCAGAGAGCTGGATCAGGAAGTGGAGCAGCCGAGACTAGAACCGGTGCCCATATGGGATGCCAGCACTGCAGGTGGCAGCTTGACCCACTACATCACAGCATCGGCTCCATATAAAACTACTGGAAATTTTACAATTAAATTTCCATGTGCAGGTTCAAATGTAGTTGAGAATTTTACATAAATTAATGATATAAACATCTTGTCTTTGTAACACTGCCTAGATATGTTTATCTTGTTTGGATGCCTCCTCTAAATGAGTTGTGTAATGAAAGTCAATAATTCCTAACCTGCAATGTTTAATAAAGCTAAATTGTCATTTATATTGAGGGCATAATAAAGTTATTCTCAAGCCTTCGGGGCTTCCACAGACTTACATATGGAGACCCACTTTTAGAAGAGGCATCGGAACAGAAGGTAACAGAACTAAGAAATGTTACAAATCTTTGTTGTGTTAGCCTGATTGGTTA